CATCAGATAAGATGGTCTGTGCTTGAGGATCATTTTTCTGAATATGGAGCCAAAGAATATACATTTCACCTATGCTCTTGGCCGATATTGAGACCAGAAGACCAGGAGGGCACCATAGTATTTTTGGAACCTCTATTTTGCTGTGTGTGTTCCTCACATGCCATTGTCTTTCATCTAAATACTAATTCCTTGGAGAATGTAGGCAAGTGGCCTGTGGGTGTCCAGTTAGCTAACTGGTGATAGAGCAAAGTCAAGGTGTGCAGATAGTCTCCAGTGATAACTTGAGCTGGGGGGATGGGAAAGAACCTTTAGGCTTCTCCACATAGATTTTCCAGCTCTGTTTTAAATTATTTTCTGTGTGTGTGTGTGTGTGTGTGTGTGTGTGTATAAACGTGGACCAAGAGCCCTGGAGTCCTGGAAGTGTGAACATGAAGAGGACCAACCGTGGTGCCTTGGTTCTGACTCCATTATTCATCGTCCTTGCCTATGAAAGGCAAGCCCTTTTGTTCTCAGTTGTCTTTCCCAGCGGATTTCAGGTTCTTTCATGGTGGACACCCTCAGAAAGATTTTGACAGGAAGTGTGTGAAATAGGTCAGCATTTGTAAAACAGTGTCTTGGTTTTGTTCAGAGTAAAAGATAGGCAAAGACTTAGCTAAAGGTTCTATTCGGAAATAGGGTATCCAGTTACTGGCTTAGCTGTGGAGAGCTCGGTTGTTACTGTGTGGGAGGAAAAGTGTTCTGTGAATGGACCATGCACTCAATAGAAATGTAGCTGGTGTCGCACTTGGTTCTGTGGGTTAAACCCTCAGCACTCCGCCAAGGAGAGCGGAAGGACATCTCTGTGTACCGTGAGCCCCCGCTCATCCCATCCTGGAGAGCCATCACGTTCCCAACCAGCGGCAGGTTCTTTGATTTGTTGAAGAAGGAAATGGACAGGAGGAAATCGAGATCAGAGGGCAGCTAGCTTCCTTGTGTGTTTTTTTAAAAATGGGACATAGGGATGGGCAGATTCCTTCAATGGTAAGAATTTATAGAAAGCAAGTAGATTTTTCTGATGTGTGATCTCTTTCATTTGTTTTGTATCATTTTGAAGCACTTTCATGCATATTGCTTAATCTGAAAGTGCTCTGTGACGTAGCTGGGTAGGAAAATTACTTTTATACCCTTCTGTACATGGGGTGAGTGAGGTCAGTGAAGATAGGTCTTTTGTCCAAGGTCACACAGCTGGTCATTTGCAGATACAGGACTCAAACATACATCTTTTCTATATTTGCTCTTCAGTTCTGGTGTCTTTCCTATTTCACCATTTTGGGAAATGTCCCGAAAGGGTGAAAAGGGAGATGCCTGCATGTGTGCGTGTGTGTTGGGGATGGATGGTGAGGAAAAGGAACAAGGGGTCTAGAGAAGAAAAAATATTTTAACTAAAATTCAGGCCATCCGGCTCTGTGTCAGTGTACAGAGCAGAGATCCCCACCTAAGTAGGGCTAGTTGCCCATGGTGGAGTGAGGGTCAGTTTTTACAGGGGCTGGGAGGGGATTGGATGGGACCATAGGCAGATACAGAGCATAGAGGGCTTTGCTAGTAAAGGACAAAGCAGCTGGGGATTGGAGTCAGGAGGCTAATGGAATAGGATAAGAAATTGCTCTTCTGGGGATGTAGAATCTCCAAATGTGAGGGAAATAATAGGCAGATAGATTTTTGGTGACTCAGCCTAGATTACTAATCCAGAGAAGCCCCTCTCAAGAGGAAGACAGCTTCTCCCCTGCTCTGGGGAATGTGACTAAGAGAAGTGCCAGTAAACTTTGGGTTATGATCTGTATGGGGGATGACTGGCTGCCATTCAAACCAACTTGATCTAAGATAAGGGATGATTTGGTTCATAGGACTAAAAATCCAGGTAGAGCTGGGTTCAGGCACAGCCTGGACTAATGGCTTAAATGAGGTTCACGAGGCCCTGTGTTTTCCTCGGTTTCTCTGCTCTGCCTTCCACAAAGTTGGCTTCATTTCACCAGGGAGCCCCTTGACCGGACTAGGTTCTCCCCCTCACATTTGTAAAAGTGTTGCAGCTGTTCCAGACCTCACAGTGTCATCCCATCCTGTTCAAGGAAAGACCCTTGTAGCTACTGGAGAAAAGTTAAGGAAGCAAACATCTTCTTGGCTCTCGTTGTTTTATGTGCCCACAGGCTTGGATGGAAAGACCATCCTTGGAGTAGGGGAGGGCCCAACTCCACGCACATTGCATGGTTAAAATGGGGAAGCAGTAACTTCTGAAATGAAATTTCGGGGCGCTTTTGCCAGAAAGGAGAATCCAGGCTGGGTGGTAAATTATAGAAGTCTTCCATACCAACCAAAGGGATAAGGGGATGAAATAATTCCAGATAGATTTCCCTGGGGGATTCTTTGAGGGAGGGAGTAATGCTTATTAGCACATGTATTAAGAGAATAGACTTAAGATAAAAGGAGAGACATAATAATTGCTTGACTTAAAGAACAAAAGGATTTCCTTCCCTCTAACATAATAGTGGTCTAGGGCTTTGCTTCACACTGTTCACTCTTGGTCCCATCTTTCTTCCTCATGTCCCGTGTCATCTCATGGGTCTGGGTTGTCACGGGTTTCAACAACAAAGTGGGGAGAGAAAGTGTAGAGGAAGCAGCTGTCTGTTTTAGGGGTGCTGTGCCGTGAGTGCTCTGCACCTCCCCCTCACGCTGTGTTGATGAGAACTTGGTCCATGGCCCGTGTCACTGCAGGGGCTGCTAGGATATGCGGTCCCTAGCCGGTGACCAGTGACTGGCCTTCCGCTCTGTGATTCTAGAAGAAGGCGAGAAGGAATTTTGGTGAGGAGCAGGCAGTCTCCATTGTAAGGGCCTATTCAGCCAGAGCGGCCCCACCCGGTTGGACTGTCATTTTGCTGTTTATGCAGTTAAACTGCCCCCCTCCTGGGAACTGACTTAAAAGCAAGTCCGGGAAACCAGTCCCCGGTAACAAAGCCCAAATACAAGGGCGGGTCAGGTCAGGTGGAGATCACAGCCTGAATGCAGGGGTGAGTCGGTCAGGTGGAGACTTCCAATCAGTAAAGTCGCAGACTGTCTCCCTAGCTACCAAGGAGTATGGGCCCCTCCCTTTGGGTGCCCCTTGGGTGCCAGTTCTGACCAAGGTGATAGGCTAGTTCAGATGTCTACTATAGGGTAAATTGTAATTCAATTGGTCACTTAAGTGTGACCTAGCATGACTGTGCCGCTTTCTCTGTGTGTTACAATCTCATCGGCCACCTGTGTGTGGCCAGGCCCAACCACATGGCCTTTGCTCTGTGAAAGTTAGTCTGTGAGGCAGGGAGGGGTCGTGCTCTCTGGAAGAGGCGTGGCGCCGACCGGTTGGTTTGATTCTCGATGCTTGGCGGGGAAATAAAGCTTTGCTTGACCTTTGCTTTGTATCAGTCTCGCTCCTTTAATCATGGACCCGTTATTGGGGGATCCAACACTGGGGACCCAACACCATCAAATGCCCAAACTAGCTTTCCTAGGAGGCTTAGCCATCCTGAATGATGTTCCTGTGGCACATAGCAGCGCCTCCTCAGGAAAGAATCTTCCTCCAGTCCCTTCATTTGGGGAACCAGGAAGGCGTTCAAAGGAGCTCAGTTAGAGTTGGGTTCAGGTATACATGACAGAAAATCTGTCATAGCAGTGACCTAAACGTTTGCTTTTTCTTCTCTTCTGTAAAAGACGTTTATGGTATAAGTGATGTGTTAATGGTGCCAGGGACTCTTTTTATCCTACTGTTCTGTCATCTCGGCATTTGGTTCCCTCCTCATAGTCCAAGATGACTGTCTGAACTCCAGTCATTCTTCAGTTTTCTCTGGCAAAAGGAAGAGGAAAGGCCTCAGAGGGCATTTCCTGGAAGTCACACACAGCACTTCCGTGGACACCCTGCTGGTCAGAACTTAATCACTTGGGGCACCTAGCTGCAAGGGGGGCTGAGGAACTAGCCTTCCTTCTAGGAGTTTATGAGCTCCACACTGAGGCTTTTTGTGCTAAGGAGGAAGGGGAGAACGGACATTGGACAACAATAAACAATCTCTGTGAGAGACCACGTGCCCCCCCACCTCTGCCTGCAGATGTGTGTGCATTTCTTTGTCCATGCTAAATTCTAAAACCCATTTTCATATTTATCTGAGGGAAAGAAACCACCATAAGTGCCGACGTATTAAGTGCATACCAGGTACAAAACACGATCTGTATCACTTACTCTCATGAGAGCGCTCTCCCAGTGCGTTACCCAGCAGAGTTTAGCATGCAGCTGTTGACAGAGGTGTGGGCAGAGTGGTGGGAGCCAGAAGGACTTCCTGGAGTAACCAGAGTTTAGCGACAGCAGGAAATCTTAACCTCCCCGAAGGGGCAAGGGGACAGACCTGTGTCACCAAAGCAGCCTGACCAGAGCTGAGAGACCTAGAAGAAAGGCTGCCTGTCAGGAGGTTATAACCGTGGAATGAAGCCGAGCCAGCACCCCCGTGAGCCTGGGCCAGAATGACCCCTGGAGGGTGAGAAATACCCTGACCTGTCTCCCCTCCCACCCTGGATCTCCTAGCAGTGTCCCACTTTGGCTGAGTCCAACTGGCTTTAGAGAGCCAAGGCCCCTAGGGAAAACAGTCCAGGAAAGCAGCTCCCCAGGGAACACAGCAGGGAAGAGAAGGGCAGAAAGTGGATTGGGGGTTTGGGAGAGCAGCACAGAACAACTCCCACAGTATTAGGATTGCTTTTTCCTAGTAGGGAAACTGAGGCATGGAGAATCGAAGTTACTTGCCCAGCTGGGAAGCAATAGACAGGACCTTCTAACTTCACATGTGTCCTGAAGGGTAAGGCCGAGCACACGGCACACTTGCCTTTCCTGTCCACTGCCCAGTGCTCTGCACACAGTAGGCATCTATAAATGGTCAGTGATTGAAATCATCCAGAGAAGCATATTTGGGCATACGAGTAACCGTTTCCTCTTCCTTGTCATGCAGGTCGCTGTCCCAAACCTCAGCGAGGCGGTACAGGACGCAGACCTGCTAGTGTTTGTCATTCCCCACCAGTTCATTCACAGAATCTGTGACGAGATCACCGGGAGAGTACCCAAGGAAGCACTGGGCATCACCCTCATCAAGGTAACTGGCCCCTGACCCCAGGCAGAAAAAGCATTGCTGGACTTCAGTTATAGGGAAATTTTATTTCCTCTCACTCCTGTTTGTTGGAAGTAGGAGCTGAAAGGGAGGCTATGGCACTTTTTTGTTTTCTGGGTTTGTTTTTTTTTAAAGATTCCTAGAAGGTAATTGATGACACATCCCAGGAGCTTCCCTGAGCTCAGCTTCAGGCGAGGGCTGCTTTCTATCACAGAGGGTTTTAGCCTTGGCAGTGATGTGAGGATGGGCTTCTCTGGGTGAACCTTGCTGTCAGAAAGAACCTGTCCAGGACACGGGTCTCAGCCTGCATCCTGGGAATCACCGGTGGTTTGTGTTGCCGGGAAATGCATCCTCGTTCATTTCCACTCCTGGGTACATGCTCGAAAGGGAGTGTTTTTTTTTTTGTTTTGTTTTGTTTTTTTTTTTAAGATTTTATTTATTTATTTGACAGAGAGAGAGAGATCACAAGTAGGCAGAGAGTCAGGCAGAGAGAGGGGGGAAGCAGGCTCTCTGCTCAGCAGGGATGCTGAGGCAGATGCGGGGCTCCATCCCAGGAACCTGAGATCATGACCTGAGCCGAAGGCAGTGGCTTAATCCACCGAGCCACCCAGGAGCCCCCGAAAGGGAGTTTTTAACCAGAAGTTCATAGACTACCCCCATGCGTCCCTAGACAGAATTCAGGAAGTTCCTGGCTTAAATGTGGGGGAGAAAAATTACATTTTTGTTCATTTTAACTTCTAACTGAAATGAGCATTTTCAAATGCCAGCCACAGGCCAGACTTGCAGTAACTATAACATTAGCAGGACCTGTGGCTCTGTTGTCGACAGAAATCCCATGTTCCTTCCACTTTATAATGCCTCCAGGTATCTCAAGGTAGCATTTACGCTGATCATGACCTTGAAATTGTGGTCATTGGTAAACCTGCCAAATCCTCTTTTTCTAATTGCATTAATAAAACAGCGCATTTATGACTTGTCATAGATCTGTGTGATTTCTTTTTTTAAAAACATTTTGATAACTGTGTTTCAGTATAATTGGTTTCCTGGGTCATCTCATGCATTTTGCTTTATGCATATGAAATTCTGAGAGTGAGTCCATAAAACTTCACCAGACTGCCAGAAGTGAAGGCCACATCATGAAAAAGGTTAAGAACCCCGTGGAGAGACTTTGTTCTCTCAAGCGGTTCACAGATGAATATTTATGGAAGCAGACTTGAACAACTCACACTCCAGTTATAAATACAATGGATAAATAAATAGTGGACTTTTATTTTGGAATACTACATGGTGGTAAATAGGAACATACCAGAACGTTCATGCAGCCACATAGATGAGTCTGCAAAATGATAGTAGAGCACCAAGTGGTACCTCATGGGGGAATGGTACAGTTGCACTTACAGACTTTCAGAAGCAGGCATTACGGTGTAACAGATTATTAGGAATATAGCCTTATGTGGCAAAACTTGGTCAAGAAGAGAAGGGAACAATGTGTACAGCCTTGGGTAGTGGTTCACCCTGGTGGGGGTGGGGACCAGTGGTGAGAAGGAGTATGGACTAGGGGAGGAACACACGGGACTTCAGTGGTACAGGCCGTGTTCTGGGTGGTCACATGTTCATTTTCTTCCCCCTTTTGTTGTTACGCAGACACGGTATGTATGTTACCCTTGGAAGAGCTATTTTTCAAGTTGTGTATCCCGCTGGGTGCCTGTATCTGCATTAGTAACAGAGCGACCATGTCATGCCTTTTTCATTTGGTTTGTTTTCCTCTAACTTGTTGACATCCTTACAGGGCATAGATGAGGGTCCTGAGGGGCTGAAGCTCATTTCCGACATCATCCGGGAGAAGATGGGCATTGATGTCAGCGTGCTCATGGGAGCCAACATTGCCAGTGAGGTGGCTTCAGAGAAGTTTTGTGAGACCACCATCGGTGAGGTTGCCTGGGTGGGAAGGCCTGGGGAGCCCGGATACGGTGTTTTAAAATGTACATTTGCAATTTCTGGTATTTACTGGATTCTTCTCATGTGGATATTCAGCGGTACGGGGATTTAATGTAAAGGAGGTCCTCCTGTGGAACTGAAGTGCTTCAACGGCCTCCAGAACGGAAGTAAAGGCCAGGAGGCCATTTGGACTTTCCCTGATCAGATAGTGAGTTATCAAGGTTAAACACAAAAAATGCAGGGTTGCTTATACTGAGAAGAGGGTAATAACATCCATGGAGGGGCTCCCCTGGCCTTAGAAAACCCAGAACTTTTTTTTTTTTTTTTAACTCACAAATGCCAGTATCTGATCCCCATTGGATTCCAGTGCCATTGAAAGCTTTGGCAGCACATATACTAAACATTGGAACGATAAAAATCACCTGTTTCAGGTGAGTTATCTAAAACTCTGTGAACAAGTTACCTGCCCCAAGGTCACATAGCTAGTTTAGAACCCAGGCATGAACTTGGCCATCTTGTTTCCTAAATTAGAAAGCTCTTTCTACTCTTACACAGCATTGGTATTGTGAAAATTTCTGCTTCTTTTAAAAAGGGTTGTGGAATTCTCGTGTGCCCATGTACCATATGAAAAGACTGATAGAGGGACGCCTGGGTGGCTCAGTGGGTTAAGCCTCTGCCTTGGGCTCAGGTCATGATCCCAGGGTCCTGGGATCGAGCCCCACATCGGGCTCTCTGCTCAGCGAGGAGCCTGCTTCCTCCTCTCTCTGCCAGCTTCTCTGCCTACTTATGATCTCTCTCTGTCAAAAAAATAAATAAAATCTTAAAAAAGAAAGAAAAGACTGATAGGAAAGTAATATTGCTATATTTGCAGATGCTTGGAAAGATTGGAGTTTATTTACCCCTCCAGAACTTCCTTCCACCTTTGTCAAACATACCAGCAATGTGAATGATTTCTCCCTGCAGCTTTGCAAAGGGAGGCCCTGAGAGAATGCATGGGAAAAAGTAGCTCCTGATTCTTTTTTTTTTTTTTTTTTTTTTAACTTTATTTATTTATTTATTTGAGAGAGAATGAGTGAGTGAGTGCAGAGGGCGAATGAGAGGGAGAAGGAGACTCCCTGCTGATCAGGGAGCCCAACACAGGGCTGGATCCCAGGATCCAGCCCAACACCGGGCTGGATCCCAGGATCCTGAGATCATGACCTGAGCCAAAGGCAGATAGATGCTTAACTGACTGAGCCCCGGTAGCTCTGGATTTTTCTAAATGCCTGCAAGTTAGGACGGTTTTACTTATTTTGCTTATTTCTCTCTTTTTTTTTTTTTTTTTTAAGATTTTATTTATTTATTTGAGAGAGAGAGAGATGAGAGGGGAGAAGGTCCAAGGGAGAAGTAGACTCCCCACAGAGCTAGGAGCCTGATGTGGGACTCGATCCTGGGACTCCAGGATCATGATCTGAGCCGAAGGCAGTGGCCTAACCAACTGAGCCACCCAGGCGCCCCTTGCTTATTTCTCTTTTACTTTTAATTGCATTGATATGTGGAAAATAAGTATGATTAAAAGAAAACCATTTATTACATTTAATTTCCATTGTTCTTGTGTCTGTAAACTATTAATTTATGTTTATAGTTAAGTTATGTACTACTTTATAATTGCTTTATTCGTTTAATATATAACAGACAATTTACATACATTTTCACAGTTGGATAATATTCCATCAGTAATCCCATATATCTGTGCACTTAAAACTTCCTTTTTTTTTTTTTTGAGAACTGCTATCTATGGAGAATAGAGGTATTGCTAATAATACAATGAAGAAAACAAAATGGACTCTAGTCAACCCAGGTGGATATTTATAAAAATGACATATATAGACAGAGGTAAGAAAATTGAAACAGTATGAGAAAGCGTGTCATTAGAATTAAGTGTGATTTCTCGAGCTTGGGAAGATGGCAGAGCAGGAGGAAATGTGAGCTCAGCCCGTCTCACAGGTACAAACAGATATCATCCACATCCAAGTCCGTAAACCAGAGAGAGATCCAGAGGTGGGCAGAATGAACTTCACGGCTAATACAGAGAAGAAGTTGATCTGACAAGTGAGGAAGGTCAGAAAGGTGGAGGGAGGCTGCCCACAGGAGGGAGGGAGCTGTGTGCATGGAGAGGGCAGAGAAATGAGCTGTTCTACCGGGGAGCTCCCATGGGAACACTAATCCGCAAACATTTGGCTTTAAGAACGAGAGGGGCTGAATTCCATGAGTCTGTAAAATAAGTGGGAATTGGAACCTGGAGCTTTGGAGGTCAGCTGACTCAGTACTGGGCGAGCCTGGAGGGCAAGTGATGACTGGGTTGCTGCCCTTAAAGAGACAGCAGCCTGAGCAGAGAGGCAACATAAAAATAGCAGTTTATACAATGTTGGTTACCAATGGGAGACAGATCTGTTCATACTGATTTTGGAGCATGTTGGGGGACTTCTCTGAAAATGAGGGAACTGCCAGGCGCCATTTTCCACCTCCATCCCCCAACATAAATACAGAGCCACCTACGGAAGGCAGGGCTACACAAATATTTTGTAGCCTCCGCCCAGCGTTCAGGGCAGATTTTATTAAAGCTGTTTGCATGCCCTGCCCAGTCACCAGGTGCACAACTGTCTCCTTGCGTAGCACCCAGCCAGCATTGCACATTTTGCCCAGCCTCATGACCCCAGCCACGCAGCTTTCCAGCCACAGTGGCACTTCAAGAGATCCAGCATAGGACTAGAGGCCCAACACAAATTTTTCTAACACCACCACTTCGCTCCCAAGTTCCCCAGTGGGTACATCCTCTCAGAGCAGATCTACCTGCATCCCATGAACACCACAGAGAGCACAGCCCACAGCAGGCAGAGAATCAGTGCCAATGTCCTCACTGGAAGGAAAAGTGACTCAGACATGATAGCAGGACCTAAGCAACACACACAGGATGCTCTCTTGAAGTGCCAGGTTCTGGGGAACAGGGGACGTGCACAACAGGGACTCCAGGACCTCCTCTGCATAACATCACTAAATGAGAAGACGCAGTTTTCTTCACTCACAGAGACAGACACAGAGGCAGACAAAATGAGGAGACAGAAATTTATCCCAAATGAAAGAACAGGACAAGGCATAGCCAGAGATCTAAGCAAAATAGTACAAGTAACTTGTCTGATAGAGAATTTAAAGCAGTGATCATAAGGATACTCACTGGACTTGAGAAGAGTGGAAGATGTGAGAGAGATGCTTAATGCAGTGATAAGGAATAATGGAGCAGAGATGAAGGGCTCAAGAAATGAAATGAGAAACATGCCTGATGGAACGAGCAGTGTGATGGAAGAAACAGAGGAAGGAATTAGTGACCTGGAATACTGAGAAATGGAAAGTGTTCAAGCTGAACAAAAGAGAGAGAAAAGAATTATGCAAAATGAGAATAGACTGAGGGAATTCAGGGACTCCATCAAATGTAGTAACATTTGTATTATAGGAGTCTCAGAAGAAGAGAGAGAAAAGGGGACAGAAAATTTATTTGAAGAAATAATAGCTAAAAACTTCCTTAATCTGGGGAAGGAAACAGATACCCAGCTCCAGGCTCCAGGAGGCACTGAGAATTCCATCAAAATTAAGAAAAGCAGGGGACCCTGGGTGGCAGTCAGTTAAGTGTCTGACTCTTGGTTTTGGCTCAGGTTATGATCTCAGGGTCATGAGATCAAGCCCTGCATCTGGCTCTGCACTCTGTGTGCAATCTGCTTGAGATTCTCTCCTTTTCCCTGTGCCCCTCCCCCTGCCTGCTTGCTCTCCTCTCTCTCTAAAATAAATCTTTTTTAAAAAAATCAACAAAAGCAGGGGGCGCCTGGGTGGCTCAGTGGGTTAAAGCCTCTGCCTTCGGCTCGGGTGATGATCTTAGGGTCCTGGGATCGAGCCCCACATAGGGCTCTCTGCTTGGCTGGGAGCCTGCTTCCCCCTCCCTCTCTGCCTACTTACGATCTCGCTCTGTGTCAAAAAAAAAAAAAACAAACAAAACTTTAAAAAATCAACAAAAGCAGACCCACACCAAAACATACTGCAATTAAATTTGCAAAATAAAGTAGTAAAAAAATCTTAAAAGCAGCAAGATAAAAGAAGTAACTTGGGCAGCTGGGTGGCTCAGTTGGTTAAGCAACTGCCTTCAGCTCAGGTCATGATCCCAGAGTCCTGGGATTGAATCCTGCATCAGGCTCCCAGCTCTGTGGGGAGTCTGCTTCTCCCTCTGATCTTCTCCTGTCTCGTGTTCTCTCTCACTATCTCAAATAAATAAAATGTTAAAAAAAAAAAAAAAAAAAGAAGAAGAAGAAAAGACGACACTTAAAAGGGAAAACCTGTAAGGCTAACAGAAAACTCTTCAACAGAAACTTGGCAAGCCAGAAGGGAGTAGCATGATATATTCAAAGTGCTGAATGGGAAAAATCTGAGGCCAAGAATACTCTATCCAGCAAGGCTGTCATTCAGAATAGAAGGAGAGAGAAACAGTTTCCCAGACAGACAAAACTAAAACTAAAGGAGTTCATGATCACTAAACCAGCTCTGCAAGAAATTTTTAAAGGGGACCCTTTGAGTAGAAAAGAGAGACCAAAGGTGACCGTATAAAGGTAGGAAACACAAATGCTGGAAAAAATGAGTATTTCTGTAAAAAAAAATTAGTCAAGCAACTCAAGAAAAAAATGATATAAGATATAGCATATTCCTAAAACAGGGAGAAGAGGAGAAAAGAATATATTCAAACTTAAACAACTATCAACTGACTATAGACTGCTATATGCAGAAGAGGCTATATACAAACCTAATGATAACCATATATCAAAAACCACTAATAAATATGCAAAAAATAAAGAGAAATCTAAATATATCACTAAGGAAAATCAGCAAAAATATGAAAGAGAAAGACAATAAAGAATCAGAGAAAATCTTCATATATAACCACAAACAAGTAATAAAATGGTAATAAATA